ACACAGATACAAACTTGTCGTGTCGGATGTGAAACGTGTTCCCCACCCACTGTGCTTCGAACGGAGAGTGGTAAATATTTTGGAACAGTTTGCCTGAACATGTGATTGAGGCAACATCTGCGCAGCAGTTCAAAATGTTGTTGGATTTATATTTTACCACTATTCGATTCAGAGAACGATTGCACACTTACGATGAGAGGTCATATTCGTGAGTCCTGCAATACCGTGAGTCAGATAGTTTAAATGTTACGTGAGAACCTTAATCATGTTCACGGCTGACAATTTTTATAAGGTTTTTCACCTTAATTCGAATGAGTTGTACAGCATCCACTTCTACTTGCTCTATACTACAGTATTCAGTTTGGTGCGTACCACTTTGTGATCAGTGACACACTCAGCTCCACGCAGTACACGTGTTATACCCACTTCACGCATATCACGCTGACGTACGACGACATAGTGGAACAGGTGAGCGTGACCACTCCGTGTGTGCGTTCAAGTTGCTATATCGCCCGCACTCAGTGCAAACCGAGTGTTCATGATCGTCAGGCCGTCAATGGTACACAGTGAGAGCAGCCTGTCACCGTTCGCATTCGCTGAGCCAATGCCATGCGAACCGATAACATCTGTCCACACCGATGCATCACGCCCAACGCGCGCGTTGAAATCACCCAGCAGAAATAATCGGCACAGACCGTATCACGGAGGATAGCTGAGTATAGAATTGATCACGCGTGTCATCAGGATAACACATGGTCGGACCGTACGTGCTTATAAAAGTGGCAAACTTACCTCTCCCGAGTCGTAGGCGAATAGTCATCAGTCGCGCGCTGATGCCTATTGATTCACCCACCAGCCGGCCATTTTGGCGATCGGATATTGCAAATCCGACTCCATGATCATATGATTCTGAGGCGGCGTTTCCCACCCGGTAGAATATGTAGCCAGCACCTGCTTCATGCAACTTACCTTGCTCAGCGAGCCGAGTTTCACTGAGCGCCGCAATATCGCGACGAGTGCAGTGCGTCGCTCCGGGCGCTCACTCGAGTTCCGGTCCAGTAGTGTGTGCACGTTCCAACGCCCGATGCTGAATGCTTTGCGCACAGACATACGATTGCGTTGGTGTGCAATCGCAAGCGAGGTGGCGGTTGTGCTTCGGAGGTTTGCTTGCGGGACTCCGCCCGGAGCGTTTGGCTCAATAGCCTTAACCACAAGGCATTGGGTGATTTGGCGGTTTACTTGACGGACTCCGCGCGGTGCCTTTAGCTCAATAACCTGACCCACAAGGCAGAGGGAGCAGATCCAGCTCGGGAATGTGATTGTAGAGGCACATTGGGATCTGCTCGACGCCCGTCGCACGCAGCCTTGGAGGTATTGGAACTATTCATATATGTTTATATACATATACATACATATATATATATATGTATGTATATATATATATATATATATATATATATATATATATATATGGTTGGCGGTATCCGGTTTTGGATTTGCCTGTCACTCTGGCGAGCCACAGGACGCGTGCGCCTACAGAGGGACCATGGATGGTTTGCGCTGCACCACCCACAGCTCCAACCACGCACCCCATATCCAGTGTAAACACGAAGGAATAAGATCGGAAGATATGCGGATGGGAGCCCCTTTTCATCAACGGAGCCGGCTCACACTCCTTCAATGGCAAACACAATCACCCTGTATTTGGGGAATCAATCGCACACAATGCGGTAGCTGGACTGTAGTCCGCTCCACACAGTGCATGGAACCACTCTTTGAGCCTAGCACGGTCACAGCAACGACCAACTGTCTCCTGGAGCCAGTATGGACGAGGTAGTGCGTAATAGACAGGTAGGCACCTTGTCAACATGCACATCAAGCGCAGCCACACCGGGGATATCAAGCAACAGCTGATCACTTGAAACGACAAGATGAAATAAAATAAATCCAATAATGCATACAAATACGGTGGCATAACTCTTCGCTAAATTAGCATATGAAGTAAGTTGGTTAGTAATAAATCCGCGATAAGGAAAAATGTGCACAAGTTACTTAAAACTGCTACAAACTCAGCAAAGTTACTGAAGATAAGAGAAATTAGCGTAAGCAACGTGGCCAGTTAATAGATGATTATTCAGGTAGCAGAACAAACCAAATTAAGTGGAATGAATTATATCCAACTTAAAAAGACCTAGCTAAGTGTAAGTTGGTTTAGCCCAACTGCGGTGAAGAAGCATACGGAATACAACATCATCCTAAGCATGGGGCACGATATATATATATATATGTATATATATACTGTAGAATTGAATGCATTTCTCCGTTTGCTAAATGAGTCTTATATAGGAATTCTGCGTCATTTTGCAGCTGCTTTAGATTGCAAATATGCCTGGCTCTGTAGATAATCGTTCTGACGCGAGCGCGGTTGTATGCAACCGGGGCGATGCTGGTGTAATGCATGTATTACCCACTCCAAGTTGCTTTACGTTGGACGGTGCTTTGGAGTGCATCTATGGCTCACTTTTCCATGGAAAGAAGAGTTCCTACATAAGACTTATAGCAAATGGGTGTTCCACAGTAGACCCACCAAAGTGATGCTATCACTGCAAACCGTGGAGAAAATGGCTGTTTGTTTATTTCAAAGAGAATGTTTCAGATGAAGTTGGTCATAAATTTAGGTCTGCTATAACGCGCACTTATACCACTGTGTGTCTACGAATCATTCACATCACACGGTGTCTGGATCTCAACTACCGTCCAGATAGTTCGTCAGTCGATTTGACCTCTTATGTTATGTACCGGTTCACTTGCAGCTGCGGTGAGGTTTATACAAGCAGGACAGAATGTCGATTGGCCTATAGGGTGGTTGTGACAATTCATGATACAACTTGGAGAGAAAGATCAAATGGAGAGCGAGAACCCCACGTCGTCTATGACATAGTACTTCATGGTGACTGGCCATCATGTGGACCCATCGATGGCTTTCAAGGTGCTATTGATCAACGGTAACTCGAAAATGCTGCTAATCGGCGAGGCGTTACTGATTGCGTTACACCGACGGGTATTGTGCACGCGAAAGCAACTGAAGCAGTCTATCAGATTTCTTTGGTCTTGTTTGTCCAACTTTAATTTACCCTTGAGTTTTCAACTGCTCCAGTCACTGTTCGGCATGAATTTGAATAGCTTTGAGTTCGGCTGTCAGCATTGGTTGTGCGCGAGTTTTGATTTGTACGACGTAAGCACAATAGTACTTATTGTGCTTGCGTTTGGGTACGTGGCTCACTGGCCAAATAGGCGTCACAGATATGCTCTCGATAAGTAACTTTGCCCACCCAACGCCATTCGGATATGTTAGTTATTTGCCTCCACAGAGGTTTGTGTTTCGCTAACTTGTAATAAACTGGACATAACTGTCGTTTTTGTTCGTGATCGGATGCAGAACGAACTCTTACGGCTGTTCAGCATTCCATTCGCCATTTTGGCACCATCTACAAACTGACTGGTTTCATTCTATTCCTCAATGATTAGGGGTTTCACATGAAAACCGATACGTCGTACCGACACTTGGTTGCTGCACAGCCGACAACCGTCGGGTGCGTGACTACCCGTACTTACGCAAGATCGAGCTAGCTACTTGTGGATCACAATTCTTATCTACTTGGCCACCGGCTGTTCCAATTTTGTACACCATCTTGGTTCACCATTTTCCTCGAATGTCGCATCGCTAGATGTGTCTGGTGGTGGTTTCCTTTAGAGCATACATGATGTTGTCGTGACCAAACCACAACGCATGAGCCTTATCGTAGTGACATCGGAGCGAATTTTGTCTGGTCCGAACTGGCATGTCACTTTTCATACACCCAGCGGGTTGCGAACTTTTAATGGTCGCATTGAATTCCTGGCCTTTTCATCGTACCTACCATCGGTGTCCTCCCGTTGTTTCTCTCATTCGTTCCATAATTTTTGTTTAGTTCTCTAAAACACTCTTCTGACAGATAACGTTCACAGCCTGTTACTTGCGATGTGGAAATACTCCCAGCTATTCACCCGAATCAACTAGTGCGTTTATTTCTTTTTGCTTAGCCCTTTTTCTGCGCTGTTTTACTACACATCCGTCTCTACAATCAACCACCCGGTCCTTCTGTTCGCCCATGATTACTTCCTCTTTTCCTTGCACATCTGCTCCCCTCTCCGATTCGCACTTGTAAATCTTCCACTTTTGCATTGCTTTCGTTTACTTTGTTCATATTCCACCCCCGTATGTGAGGCCAACTATTCGCATTTTCTGACAACCCGCTTAACCTTTTATCCCATCAGTTGGCCGTGATGTTACCGGTTCCTACATTAGGCGATCATCTGCGTAGGCAAATCACACGGTAATATTCGGTCTCCACTGTTCCTCTTCATTTCTCGGTCCTCTCTTTCTACCCCGCAACCTTTGATCACAGCCTGCTGTATGTGTTCTAGCCCAAAATATTGAATGAGGCATAGTTACGAAAATCCTTAGATTTGTTCGAGTGCGAAGCGTGTATGATCTGGTCGCGCCTTGTACAGGCCAGTTGGAAGATAGCTTTTACTTCCTGTCACAAACCCTCAGAGGATCATTTCATTGTTGCGGCACATATGGTCCATTTGACTGTAGCAAATCGTTCCTACTTTTAGTGGCATGCTGAGTGTGCTGAGCCCTTCCTATTAGTTACCTACATCTGCTGGTGGGTGTCAGTAACCCGCTCACCCACTCAGCGATTGGCCTAATTTAGAATACTGGATCGATGTGTTGTGCAACGTACTGGTTAGAGTACAGTTTTGCCTTCCGTTTGCCTGACGTGTTTTGCTTTGCGATACTTCGGCTAAGAGGTGGTAGCCACTGAGCTTTAGTTCCGCAATTGCTAAACTGTGACACTTTTCGACTCAACAGACCCAGTTGACATCAACTGTGTTCGCCATATATTCAGCGCGCTCCATTTTTACTTCGCATTTTATATTTTTTAACATTTCAGTGCCAGGCCGCCGAGATGGATGACTACGTGGGCGACATCGCTCAGGTAAGATTCGGTTCATTTTCCTCCATCTTCCCATGCACTTTTAAGCCCATCCGCGACTCTCACCTCGACTGCGTCATTTTAGCCGCATTTCATTCGGATCCTTGCATCGGTCATTCTTTACCCTCTGGAGCGAGGAAATGGATTATGCATATACTGGTGACTAACTGGCATCCCACGTGTATGGAGGCATTGTTATTTCCCTTTAGTGACTAGGCTGTTATGTGTTATTTGCCTCGATGATCCATTAATCTACGTTACCGGACGCTATCCAAGTGCTTTTAAAGCTCTCAAATCCAAGTAGTTCCATGCCTATGCCACGGCCCTTCATTTCCGTCGCAAACAGATATTAGACGACTCCATTTCACTTCGAGGACCGTACATCTTCGCATGGAGCATTGCCGGCTATCAGCACATTGATTTCTAGTGGCATCGGTAGCATTGCCTTTGTAGTGCTGGACGCCAAGGGGAGGATTTGGTCCACCGGAACTTGCAGCTCCTCGGACTGTTGCTCATACCAGGCCACCTAATCTGTCATGTCGTAAGAGAATTTTGTGTATTTTCTACAGACAACGGCAGATCAGCTTATTGCTTTTCACATGTACTCAGGATAATACCGCAATTAAGGGCTTGTCGAAATCGAGTGACATCTCACACAGTTGGACGAATTTTGTCGCTTCATCTTGTCAGACCCGCTTCAATTTTTACTTAACGTTCTTACAGACCAGGCATATCACGAATGGTGTCATCTGAAAGAGGAGTAATAGGCAATTCTCACTTCAATGTTTGTGACTATTGAATCGGGCCTCAGAGATCAGCCATTGTTCATCTTACCGTTTGCTATCTTCGTCTCTGATCACAGAGTTTAACTTTGGCGTACAATGTTGCAACGTATCACTCGACAACCGGTGGGTTGGAAACGCTCACAACGTGTTGTGGATCGTTTGCGTTCTCGAATACCATTGTGCTATTTTCTGTTCTCATTCCCTATACCCAACTTGTTTCACCATCAGTCTTGTGACCATACACAAAGTCCCAGCTGTGTGTCTCAGGTCATTTCACTATTTTGACTTGATTGGTTCCAAAATTCATTGCTTCCCACCATATTTCGAACCAACTCAACTCCGGTATCCCGAATTCGCCGAAGTCCTGCGTGCCTTTCATCTCATTGGAAACAAAATCGCCTGTTCAGCTATTTGGACTTTGATGGACTGGACTTAAATGTTGCGATGATTCATTCGCTAAGTCGTATTTGTTTTAGCTCTCTATCCATATTAGACGTCGCCTGTTAAACTCCGACGCGAATTTTTATTTTACGCCAGTGAACGTTTGTACCCACGGCAGACCAAGCTTATGCGTGACCATGAATTGACACATGCATCGTTCCTCCCTCTGTTTCTGAACTCCAAGCTCATACTTGTGATTACTGTTGAATGAATGCAGGAGGACATGGTGTGTAGCTTTTTCTCAAAAGACTAGTTATCTGCGAACCAGAGTAAATCTCTAACTCGGTTCAGCTGATATGACTGTCAGAAACCATTTGTTTTCAAACTGCTAGTCAGTCGAACGATAAAGCTACACCCTGGTCTCCACCTGTTTGAGTTAAGCTTTTATAGTGCACCTTTCGCAACAAAGGTCTCATCCTCATTAGCATTGTTGTATATCACGCACGAGTCTTCCAACAATTGCTGATGCCTGTTGACCTATATTCTCTCTCTTTGCCAATCTACATTTGTTTCGTAGTCTCTTCAGCGATACAAAGCGGGAATAACTTTACTGCATGGGCTTCGACAACACGCCAAGTCAGCCAGAGACAAAACTGTGTTGGCCGAGTGCATGCGGTTGTTGCACGATCGGTACAATGCACTTCGTGCGGCGGCGGCGAAGACACATCAGGTTGGCTACTTTGGCGTTACAGCTCCATTGGGAGCATTGGGATCCATTCCTTTATCTGGTCGTTCTCCCACTCCCCTGGCTGCGGAGTCCAGCAATCTTATCACTCCAGGTGCAGAGAATCCCACTATGCGCCAGGAATCTGGGCCAGTTCCCAGCGTTCCCTACCCATCGTCTCCTATGCGCTAATTCCTGCAGAAACTGTTCGCTCAGTCCCGAAATCTCTCTCCACTTGGCGATGCCTGGTTCGGATCGCCTGAGATCACTTTTCATCTTTGTTCATATTCATCCTGTGTATAGCTAAACAGTTCACATCGTTACTCGGCCTCTGTGTTGCGCAAGAGCTGCAGAGTTGCAGCCCAAGTGAATGTGATTTTGATGCCTCCGAACCCCGGTTTTTTGGAGTCAATTCTTTTTATACCAGTATTTGTCATCCACCACCCTTATCACGACGCTCCTTTCCTCTCCTTGCCCTTTTTTCATTTTCCCGATCGCATTATTTCAACATTCTTCCTATCCTAATTTAGACTACCATCATGACACCGACTGTAGCCCGCGACTTTATGATTATTGAATGTTCCTCTTTTCTATTGCCGATTTGTGTCGCTGCATTCGTTCGTCGTGATTTGGACCACTCGCTCGGGATCGAGCACACTCAATGCTGGCTACGCGGTGCATCCGTGTGTCCGGAGCATTGCCGTCCCCTCTGGTCACTCACATGTGAATATTAATTGGGCCGATCGTTTTTATCTCTGGGTTTACTGGCAAATAGGTCGTCCAGACGAACAGATGATTTCTTCCATTAGTTTCATTAATTGAGCACAGTCAATCGAAAACAGCAATTTAGGATCACGCTCCAATTTTAGGAGAATGATAACAAATTCACTAATCTCTATGGTTATTCCTACAGACATACATACCCGTGGCACGTAAATAATATCATTGAGACACAATTAACAATGCACCAGAAAGAAAGCACCGGTAGTACGTCGGTACTGCGTACCGACGCTTCGCTGCCGCGCATCCACTACCCGCGCGTGGTCTAGGGATGCTGCGAGCGTCATCCGATCCCCTACGCAGGCTCGAACACACGAGCTGAGACTACAAGGCAGTGTTGGGATCCTTACGGCCACAGGCCTCTGTGACATCTTCAAATTCATGCTGTGTCAGCATCATCTGCGAATGACGCATGCGATGATGTGAGTGCGAGCGAGCATAGTCAGCCGGCGTTTGATTGCCGAATTATCGATCTTCCATTGCACCCTAGCTTTGCCATGTGTGTACGCACATTTCAGCTCTGTCCTGACGTGGAAGAGGATACACATTTTTTCACTTACTGTTAGAGGAAGCTATTGGCTTGTGTTTGTGGACCATGCTAGAATCTCCATCCACAAAGGAGCGGATCATGAGCGTGAACCAGACAGGTTCTTGACCCAATACGGAGGGAAAGGGTGGTGAGAAATCATTTATGTTCGGAGCACCGCGAAGTTATTCTTGTGATATCGGTGGAGAACGATGCGTTTTTGTCCCAACTGGTCATTAGTTAGCGTTAGGTTCAATTGGGACCGGAGAAGTATGAAATTTCCACTAGCGTTCTATCCCGATTACGTTGCCGAACCAGAGGAAAATTCGGTGGATTGATTTGTCTTCTAGCAGAGTCGCATCAATAAACACGTTTCACACAACAGTCAACCAAACAGTGCCGACGTACCGTATACTAAAAGTCCCTGGTGTACCGGTCACGGATTGAAGGGAAAGGAAAACATAAAATCAAACTTCAAACTATTGCTGCAAGCATTTTCAACATTTCGTGAATAGAACCGAAGTAAACACAGGTCTTCGAATAGATGCTAGCATATTAAGTGGACCGTTTGAAACTGATAAGGCGAGTTGGGTTGCGGAGTCGATGCTCTCACTTATTAATCGTTAGTGCCAATACTGCATTCACATACAGCGTGTTCTACAAGGTGGCAATCTTATCAGATAGATGATTCTTACCCCAAACCTAGCCAGATCAAGGTTTCTGCCGCTCTGATGGATGACAACGAAAACTGACACATATGGGATAGAGGAATCCGGATAGATCAAGGTTGCCTTGACTAGAACCAGGTCATACATGCACAAGCCGATTAATGAAAGGCTGGTTCGCTTCACACCGCTGAAAGCAGCGGAACACCAAGTGCGTCAAAGTAGTATATAAGTGATGTCGATTCCAGGCAACATGAGCCTGAGCGAAGAACAGCGGGAGCGGTCTAGTAATTCGGTTCCCATTAGCTCCCTCCATCGTGCATAAACGCTGCTTGAGTACGAAGTGAGGGAAACTTTCTGATTCACATGAAGGATGTTGAATGCGAACATGCGGCCGCCGTTACGCCTTATACGTCATCAGTAAAACTGAAATAGGCTGTGCTTATGGCTGAGTTTTCTAACTGATGCCGTGATTGTCGCAACATCTTTGCAAAATGATCGCCTAAAAGGCTTCACAAGTAAACTGATCCAAGTGGAGACAACTTTGTCGAAGTAGCCCCCGAAAGACAAAACGAAGACTGGGCAGTGATCCACATCTGCTCTTAAAGAACACTGCCATTTTACAATATACACCATTATTCACTAAAACGCGCTTTAAACGGTTGATTCTTTCCAGTCATATGGCTGATTTCATTGATTGGCGCTCGCCGTTCGTCCGCAGCTGTTTGGAGCACTTTTATGTTTACTGAAATAAAGTTGTGCTTTGTTCACAATAGCCCAATCGCATTCGGGTCGGTTCATTCAGTCCTTACAGACTTGAGCAGCTAGTTGTGTCCGCGGCGCTGATTGACTTTCTATCTGACGGCTCTGTCCGTCTCACTCGCTCTTCTTATCCGCTTTCATTACGCGATTCGCCATCCTCTTCCGGTCAGCGTCTTGTGCGCATAACTCGCTTGCCTTTGGCTGAGACAAAGGTGTGCCTGACTCGCGACGCTGCAATCCAATGGTTCATTCGACCGTGTAAACGTGGTCTCTTGGTGCTGATTGCCTTTCTGGTCCACTGGCCGTGCATCAGTTTCGTTCGCCTGACTTACCAGGTAGCATCACAAACCTTACAAAAAGTAACGCTCTTCTTGTCAACACAAAGTTGGATCGAAACGCCCGTGATGGGCAGTGTCTGCAGGTCCATTGGAAGTAAGATGTAGATGCACGTGATATAACCATGCAGCGAGTGCTTGGGGAGTCAGTGGTAATTTCTATGGGGAAATGACAACGAAGCAATGTTATCCATCAGGCAAGTGTTCGGTGATATCCGCTCCACTTTACACTGCTTCGGAGGCAGAATAGTGGTTACGGGTGTCATAACTTCGCTCTTGGTCACCCCGTTTGTATCACGAATTGGTACGACTGTACTAGTGGGATGAACGAACGTGAGATACTATGGTATCCCTCACGGAAATTCGCTGACAGAATTCGAGTTCGTACAACCCCAGGGACTTGGGTACAACACGGTTAAATGCGCACAGTTGAAACGTTCTCCTAGACCGACTCCGACCTAAAAAGATGCAAACAAATGAAAGACCTTTCGCCCCACGCACTTTACTCGCCATACCAAGCAATTACGGCGTAATCCAGCGTTCCTTATATACAACGATTGGTGAAGACAGTTTTTAACGAAGAATGGTAAGCAAGGTCTATAGAATTGGTAAATACTAGTCCTAGACAATGAGCGTAAGCAAGTGCGGATATCAGAAAACAGTTGAACTCGGACACGGCGGACTATATTCGATGGGCTACAAAACACATCTACGGAGGTAGCGAGGCAGGAGCAAACGGCAGTGTTATGACTCACTAAACGCAAAAGTGACAAACCGGATTTAAGCCAAACTTGCCTTAATGTAAGGGAGGTTAAAACCATCCCATTTTACAGGCATGTTAGCGCATTGTACCAAGCTTTCAGTGTGACTCATTTTCGAACTCGCGTGCAGTGCTTTCAAGTTACCGAGGCTAAGAAACGCTGTTTTGCCGTCGTTGACACTCTCATTGGTCATGGGACGTTAGCCAATGGGACACCGGTTGGAAGCCCCGAGCATAAGCGACAGACAGTCCAATGAAAGTGGTCGAGCACCACCTGTTCTGTCTTGATGCCCATCTGAAGTAAACCTCGATGATTAGTCTCCAAACTTAAACCGTCCAATGAGCAACTTGTGATGCCTGCCTAAGGAGGAGATCCTAGCTACCAAGTGATCCGAAGCTTACGCGCTAACCAGTGCGGACAGACATGCTAACCAGCACATGAAGCGGTCTATACTTAGTGATCGCTAGCGGATACCTGGTGGTGGCTTATTCAGCGGCCTAACCATCGTGACATAGGCAGGCAATCTTCTAACTGGTATTCTGCAGTCCCTGAGGGAGTGAGGCAGGCCTGCATTTGCGGTTGGTCAGGCATGCGCCGTGGCTTGGACACTGCACATCTGAATCAGCAATGGCTGCTAGACGGTTAGATAATTTTGTACGATTGTTATTGCGACGAGCATGGGGGACATTGCTCCCATTGAAGTTGGTAGACCAACCTGAAGCTGAACAAGTTCTATGGGTGCTTACTTCTATCACAGTTGATGACTAAACACAAACTAAGAGGATTCCAAGTGTGGCTTTGACACGACGTTAGTGATTGTTCTTTTGTTTCCACACCCATGGGCGACTTTGTTAATCAGTGATCGCTCCACTGTCTCCATGTATGGCGTTATTTAAAGGTCATAGGTACGTATGTATTTATAGGATAATTAGGCTTTACTTCTATATGGTCGCCTATAGATGTTGAGACGCTTTGACAAGTGGCTCTCCGAATGGCACCATTAGAAGCACAGTCAATGCAAGTGGAACCTCCCTATTATGTTTATGGACAGGAATGCTATCCTCATGAAATCAGCATCAATCAACAAAGAAACACCTAAAGGGGCTACAGTGACTACCGTATGTATACGCCACATCGTCCTGCCAGAAAAAACGAAAATGACCGCTAATTAGTGGCGACACACGCACTTTACTCTGGTAATTCCGGTGAGTACTTGCAACAGATTAACGCTGTTGTCTCACCCGCGGGCGTTCCTACAGCATGTTTGCAATCATTTAAAAAGGCAACCGCACCCACTAATCCTGCGATGAACCACTGTTTAAGATGGTCTTAGAAGCAGTCATGTGTGCACACCTTGACACGT